GCGCCATTTACCCGCGCCCTGGACTGGAAGCCTGCAGAAGTCAGCGTCTTCCTCATTGATGTGCGCAAGGACGTCAACGACAGGAGTATTCACGCTTACTGGCCAATGTCAGTGTCGAGGTTGTTTCATAATGATTGCGTGCTGACAGACTTAGGTATTGCGTTGTTGGCCGCAAGCCGGAAGCCACTGCTTCACCTGCTGCTGCTTGAACCAAAAGACGACGGATCTCGGGTCCACCAGCTTTGGCGTATGAGAAGACTCTCCTCACCTCTACTATCGGGTCTCTATATAAAAATAAAAGACGCTCCCTATACTTCCTATGTTAATATGCTTGTGAATCGCAAACCCAGTTGCCCTTTGAGATCAGGGGGTACGGCCACGAAGCCAGTGGCAAGCTCAGGTAAAGATACGACCATGCTTATCACGCCAACAGTCCAGCATGTAATCAGAGAGATGTAAGTGTTGAAAGAAATCGACTTTCTACAAGTTGGTTGGCTTTATCAGTGGAGTTGCTCTCCAGAAATGCTTCTGCCCAGAAGAGCCATGTAATAGCAGGGATTCTGCCCTGGAACGGCTGCTGGACATCGAAGCAGCGTTCCTGTCCTCACCAACCAAATCAACTCCGCATCTGCAAAGAATACCCAGAAAATTCGGCGGGAGTCGGACGCCAAATCATCACGCTCGCAGTGGCGGAGACTCGGCCGGCCCATTGGACTCCCAACCAGACGACAGCCCATACTCGCATGCAGAGACTGAGCTTACTGCGTGCCATGCCGGTCCCGTAAAGTTCACCAAGGGAACCTTTCCACCAACAAGAAGCCCCCGTTTAAGATGAAAACTCGCCGGCCACGTCTAACCCGCCGAGGAGCAACGCCAAGAGCACCCACCCCCCCGATGCACGGGTGAAGCGATTCCCGGCTTCGCTGTCAGCTGTGCTGGGGAACGCGCATGCGTGATGGTGTGAAGCGTTGTGTAACACAGCATATATGGGGGCCAGGCCACAGACGCGCGTTTAACTCGACAGAGAGACCCCGCGGCGCAGATCGACGGTCACACCAAATTGTCGCAGCGCAAAGGAACCATGACAGGTCGTTTGTTCCAACGGGCATTATTCCAGGCTCCTTCTTCTAACATATTCTGCCGGACGTAGCTGCTGGAGTATCAGGCGGAACAGCGTTTTGGATGATCTGAGGCCACTCGGCCCCCTAATTCCACAAAAAGTCCGAGGGTTCGGGATTGGTCCGCCGTTTCTCGGGTTTGTCAGACCCACTCAGCCGGGCCCTCGGGCCCGGATTCGACTCATCACACCATGTACCTCTAAACTCACCCAAACGATGATCTTATGGTACAGGTCTAGTGCATAAATGGGGTTCCGTTGGGGTTTGGTGAGATGCAAGTCTCTTGATTCGATAATGTTTCGTTCGAACGCCCAATTGGGAGTCTCCGACACCATCGACCTCTCTACGATAGTCCTGCCAACTACGAGCTCGCTTTCGCCTTCATACATGCTAATGCCACTATTCCTCCAGTCATTCTCATACGATGGGTAACGTTGCAGCGGGCGGAGCCTCTGCCGGGCTCTCTTTCTCTTTCTTAATGATGATGATGATGACAACATGAGCGCGCGCACACGACAAGCATAGCAAAAGCACCACCGAGCTCAAGGCAGCGACATTTCGAACATGAAGACGTACCTAGGTAATTGGCCAGCAGAACTTTTGATAAGCGGCGTTGTGCATCTCCCATTGGCCCAAGAACGACGGGAAAGAAAAGTTCCTGACGTGAGGACGGGTCGCGGGCCCGCAGTGAGGACCAGGTGGCATGCAGCCCTCCTGCATGGCCGTTCTGCCAGGATGCGGCACGTATTCCACACACTGCACCGCACACGGGACCGTTCGAGCAAGGCATCTAGGCCGGTCGGTCCCTGGATATTCCGAGGATCATGGCTCGGGAGGTGTACCCTTTGCATGTGCTCGAGTGTTCAATTTCAAAGTCCGAAGATGCCTGTGTAACAATGCCTTTGCGCCTAACCAATGCGCCCACCATCGCCCTAACCCTTGACGCCATACCAAGTCCGTGACCAAATAACTGGTGTGGTGTCCCTTTTGCCGCCAATGTCACGTCAAGTCCGTTACACATACGCCAAGTCTAACAGAGGGCATCCGTATGCATGCTCCCTCAGCAGAGCCCTGAGAAGAGCACGCTCGTCTTGCTGCCGGATTCGCAGACCTCTCGCGTCCAGGAGTTTGCACAAAGCAAGGTCCTTCTCGGTGAGGCGATCGACATGCTCGGGCTCGGGCCCGATGACGAGGGAGAGACACTGCCCATAGTAGCCTCGATCAAAGAGGATGCCCATTGTGACCAGATCCATCTCGCAGAGCTTGGACATGACGGACCCCACCAGACATGCCCATATCATGACCGGCCTCAGGGCCTCCATGGACGGCAAACCGTCGTCGAAATCACCTTCGCCGTCATCTGCTTCTCTAGACTGCCGTTCTTGTAACTTTTGCGTCAACTTGTGCACCGACGCTGAGAGGAGGTTCAGGGGCACGGAGTAAACCATCGGATTGCGCGGCTCGTCTGGTACAATCGTCTCAAGGTATACAATCGCAGCCGTGCGCAGCACCGGCTCGAGAAGATTCTCCGCTGGGGAGGGAACCGGTTTCGTAGTGTATAGACTGCGCACCATGGCCGCGGCGACGGCTTCGGAGTTCCCGAGGTCGGCGGCGACGGTGAGCTCGTCGAGCTCCCCCAGAGAGTCGTTGAGGCAATCCTCGCGGAGTGCCCCGCCGTACAGAACAAGCTGGTACTCACACCAAAGCCATTCTTCAATAAAGGCTTCTGGGTTGAGAAGAACTTCCCGGTTGGGGCTCGCGAACGCCAGGCGCAGCACGCCGGCGAACAGAGCTGTTGATATCATGGCATTGATGAGGTATGACTGAAGCCCACACTGGTAGAGAATGTTGGACATTTCATTGACAATTCTCGTGCGAACATGATCCGGCAGTGCATCCGTAGTTGCATTGAAGAACCTGGGATAATCAAGGTACGGTAAGAGGCCCAGGTAGACGGCCCCTTTAACATCAGCCCTGCATCGAAAAGGTCAGCAAAACGTCAACTATTCACACAGGGTAACTTGCCTTCGTATCATGTTGAGGAGGTAGTTCCATTCCCTCTTCATCCCCCCCTCTAGTTCGATCATGTGCTTAAGACCCTGCATGTGAACCTTCCAATGATCATATCTTCCCACGTTCCAACCCGTGATGGCTAACTGAGCAACACATTCAAGCATCCCTTGGTCGAAATCTCTCTTGGTGCGGTCTGAAAGCCTGTCATTAACCAGGCTACACACCTTGGAGACGTGGTACAGCAATTCTGGAGATGACCATTCGCCCTGTGAAAACATCTCCGCGTAGCAGGCCGTCATGAGCACGGCGTTAAGGCTCGTCTCGCTGGACTTGATTCTTTCGATGAAAGCAGAGCCTCGAACCGGGTTGTATTCAAGAATCTGCTCGCACGGATACATCTTCGTCGGGGCCAGCTTGAGGTAGAGTTGCACGAGACACTTCTCCCTCTCGGAAAGATTTCCCATCCACGAGGCTAGCCATGGGATGGGGCTCCGGGGAATTCGCCATGTGTCGTCAAAAATGGCAGCCTCGACGGTCCCCTGCTGTGCCGAGGTCTCCATGACGAAGCCGGGCTCTTGGGCTTTCTTTGATGCCCTGGCTTTGCGCACCCGGTACTTTTCATCATCCGACGAGTTGTGAGAACTATTGCCGCGTTTTGACACGCTTCTGCGGGGCTCCTTTGGTTGGCTCAAGAACTTGTATTTCTGGTCCAGTGGTCGCGAGGGGTCTGAAGCGGTAGGTTCCTCGTGGCTTGAGCCCGAAGCCGCGGACGTATTGATGAACTGGGTTCCCTGGTGTTTCGACCTGGAGACTTGGAGCCCCCTCCGCGTTGAGACAAGATTCCCATTGTGGACAGTGGCGTTGAAGTGGTCCATGTTGGTAACAAACATTGCAAAGAGATATGCAATTGACGGCTACTGAAACTCTGCAGCCCTTCAGGGCCGACCTCCTTCAACATCGTCTAACATGATGGATACAGACAACTTCTTATGGCATCACTTCCGAATGAGTTGTCTGTCCACTTAGAGAATCACGTATGCTTCTCCAATGGGGTTGCCCTATCGTGGAGATGGACAACGTCGTGCATAATGACTGGCGGCAATTCCCAAATAGGAAATGTTTCCTCTTCGGGTGCCGGTGCGGAGGATTCTTGGTATAGAGACTCTTGCGCCTGCGAGATGCATGGTTGCGTGCGGGGGGCGACGTAGCTTGTCGAACCACGAAACATGTTCGAATGGAGAGTTGTCGATTAATCTTTGCAAAATGCTGCTGCCTGGCTCATGTCTCCGGACCCTGGCTGCAGTTCCCGTGGAAGACCGGGGTCCGGCATGACACCCACCCGACGTCGCCCCCCGGCCGGCCTCTGCGGACTGGGGTTCTAGAGCTGTCGAGCACCTTCGTGAGCCATTTAAAGCCTCCACTACCAAAGGTGTGACGCAGTGAGAAGCTAATCGTCCCTGGTCGTAGGCGACGTTGAATGCATGTCAGACGTTAGGCGCAACGAGAGGTTTTTACGTCCGTACACCGCAAGCCCAAACGATTGCTCTACTCAGCCAGTCAACCAACGGAACTCGCTCCGTCCGGCAGTGCTCCTCTCCACATCCTGCTCGTTATCTTGTACTCCGGCTCACAAGTCGCTGTGTTATGGCGCAAAGGTCGGCCCTATGGACACGGGGCGCATATTTGAAATCTCGTGTTACACAAGCGCGCATACCCAGGATTCCTTTACGCCTCCGCCCGATGTCTATGGCTGTCCGCCATCTCGATCACACCGGACGTCAGCATCCAATGCCTCAGGCCCGAGACACGGCACCACAGCGAATTGCTGTCCATGGCGGTGACGATGTCAGCGTTGCATCTCTCGTTCTGCTAATAGAATACCTGACCCTTCATCAACACCCGCGCAGTACGGTGGAGGTCTGCTGACTTGATTTTGCTGCCCTCAAAGGTGGTCCCGATATCCACTTTCCCACTCGGATGCCCTATAACAACAGACTTTCTTGGCTTGCTGCCAACAATCTGGGCCGCAAGAGTTCCCGGTAATTGACTTGCCGCTCCGAGGCACAGCGCCAGCGTCAGGGGAACAGCCTTGTGGGCCTGTCCCATAGACATGGCTAGGCAGCGAATATCGACATCGAGTGAGCGAGTATCGGAGAAGAGGAGTACGATCTTGGGCACGCTCTCCACGCCAGGATCCAGGCCCATCGCGGACGCACCTGCACGCCGAATTTCGTCCAAGGCGGCCTTCAGACTTGGATCTGCTTCAATGGCCTGAGGTGTGAGGTCCTCGGCAGAGGGAATCCCCAAATCACAGGCGCGGACGAAGACGCCAGGGTTGCTGACATCCACCAGAGATGCCTCTATGGACCTGTCGTTCGATAAATGCAGCCAATCGCAAGCATTTCCTGTAGGAAGGGCCTTGCCCGTCTTAGCCCCAGCAGGATCCAAGAAGCTCAAGGTTATGGGTGAGTTGGTGCCAGGAACACCGTCCATAGTGTAGTCGCCATCGGAGCAGTATCTGGGCGGGTTCCCATTGACTCTGAAGCGGGAAAGAATGACTTTGGACGTGTTGGTATTGAAGATGCGCACAGCAGCATACTTATGACCGTCAAGCTCGTCAATCTCAGGATTGTCGACCAGAGACTCATCCAGGCTCATTGGGCCAACGGCAGACGACATGTTGCCGCAGTTGCCTGCCATGTCTAGGCTGCCATCCTTGATGCCGACCTGGACGAAGGTGTAGTCCACGTCAACATCGGGCCGGGACGGCGGTGATAGTACGATGATCTTGGAGGTTGAGGAAATGCCGGAGCCGATGCCGTTCAACTGTCGCCCGTAAGGATCTGGGGACCCCATGGCGGCCGGGAGGACGGTGTGCCAATCATTTTGCGGGGGCAGGTCCTTTCGGTGGATGATCAGGCCGTTGGACGTGCCGCCACGGACGAAGATGGCGGGGAACGAGCGTGACGAATGTAGACGCGTCGATATCGTGGCGTTGAAGGGCGACAACAGTCCGACATGTGACCGAGGCCTTGAGAGGGCTTGAAGAATGCCACTTCGGGCATAGGTCGACATCTCGTGGCTGCGGAAGAAGCTAGCTGTTGGCGTTGAATCTCAGATGTTGATGTAGGCTGGAAGTTGAAAGTGGTACTACTCGCCAGTAAGGTAGTCGCAACCGGTTGTACAGGGGTCTCGTTGGGGGCGGCACTTCGCTGTAGGGCAGGCAAGCTACAGGGTACTAAGCAGTTGCCAAGCCGGGAAGCTCAGGCTCGACCCCGATGCCGAAACCGATCTTGCTTCCCGTGCCGTTTTGGTGGGCACACTCTCTTTCAACATTCCCTAATATGCAAACGATCCGAATTCAGGAACCAGAAACAATATTTCGTGTTATAGAAGGGTTATGTACAGAGCAGTTGCAACAACATGTCAATCTTACTTGACCAAAGGATGAGATGGCCGGCCGATACATGCCCGATTCGGCACCGAAGCGATAGCCACCCGGAGTTGAGAGGCTTGTAAGACCGTCTGATGTTCGAGTCCCAGGAGTCTGGAGATAAGCACCAAGCGTCCGGATTTGCGTTCGCGTTACAGAAAACAAGCTTAAACGGGCTTGATTGAAACCTGTGTCTATAATAAAGTGTTGTATCCCCTCGTCCCGTCTCAATGATCCCCCAGTGAACGACATCTTACCGTTATCTATCCATCCAACCGTCAAGTGCATCTCCTAACCCCAAATAATACCCTAACCACACACCACAATGAACCCCTACGTCGAAGTCACCCTCAGCTGGCTCCTCAAATCCTCCCGCGGCCACGACGCCAAGGCCTTCTACACCTCCCCGGCCTTCGCCGCCCACAAGGAGCAGACCCTCACCGTGACGTCCCCGGATTGTGGGCGCTCGCCCGCGGAGCTCAAGCCCGAGTACATCAACGAGGGCGGCGGCCGCATCCCCGCCCTCGCGTGGACGGCGCCGCAGGACGTCGAGGCGCGGGTTAAGGAGTGGCTCATCGTCTCCGAGGACCCGGACGCGCCTCTGCCGACGCCGATCTGCCATGGGTGAGAGAACCTCTTGTGTTGACTTATTGCATCGAGAGGAGAGACACGGTTTTGCTGACGGTGAGAATGTAGAGTATATGGCGGCATCCCGTCTGAGAGGAGGGAGGTCACGGCCAAGGATTTCGAGATTGAAGATGAGAGCAAGTCGCTGCTCAAGGGCGGCTTTCATTGGGGCAAGGGAAGGAGGGAGGGTGTCTACGTTGCTCCGAGGCCGCTGATGAACCATGGGCCTCACAGATGTGAGTATTTTTGCCACGAAATCCTGCTGAACTTGATTGCGTATTGACATTTGCAGATTTCTTCGAGGTTGTGGCACTGAGTGAGCCGCTGGACAAGTCGATGCTCGAGGCCCGGGCGACGAAAGAGCAGGTTGCGGAAGCCATCAACGGCAAGGTCTTGGGCTGGGGTTTGTGGATTGGAAGTTGCGAGAGGAGGTGGACTTGAAGAGTGCCTAGGGGGTGCCTCTTCACATGGTCTTCAAATCACTGGAGAGCCGTCTTTAAAGCTGTACATTTTTTCATTTCATCTACCTACTTAAGTCGCTTCACCTAGTACCACCGAGTTGTCCTCAAACCATCTGTTACTCGGTCTGTTCTCGACAGAACAAGAAGGGATAAAAACAACAACGCACACCCACTCGAAATCATGCGGATTGAACTCACCCATACGCCGGCTTGTGCTCGGGAACCCACTTCCGTGAAAAGAAAAAAAAAAAACCCTACGAAAGCCCCAAAAAGTTGGGCTCCCCCGCGCCCCCTGCGGTCCAGTCAAAGTCGTCCATCAGCATCGACCAGTCGATATCCTGTAGCAAATCACTCGTCGGCAACACGTTGGCGTTATTCGCATCCGTCGCCGCCGCTGCCGCAAGGTCAGCAACACTGCCCCCAAGCACCGCCGTCCGTCCCCTACACTCACGCGTCGCTCCCGCCGCGCCCCCTCCCACTCCTCCTGCTCCTGCTCCCGCCCCTCCGCCCGTCTGCCCTCCGGCGCCACCGCCCTGCTGCTGCCCCATCCTCGCCTGATCCAGCTCCTTCTTCCACCGCCGCAGCGTCCCGAACGCCAGCACCGCGCCCGTCCGGTGCGGGTAGCGCGAGATGGGCGCCTCGAGCAGCGGCATGATGTGCCGCAGGCTCCAGTACGACTCCGTCATCCGCAGCACGCGCATCGCGAAGTCGCCCTCCTGCACGGAGCACCGGCGCAGCGCCTCCTGCGAGTTCTTGATCGACACCTCGGCGTTGGCGAGCTCGAGGTCCGTCGCGTGGCCCGAGAGGAGCACGTCGAAGACGACCGTCGCGGCGTCGAGCACCGTGCGGAAGACGTGCTGCGGAGCGTGGTACAGGAACCGCTGGGAGCTCTCGAGGCGCAGGGCGAGGTTGATGATGGCTTGCGCCGTGCTGTATGCGCGGTTCACGTTGTGGCGGAAGGTCGATTTGTCGGCGGTAGACAGGGGTATGAAGTAGTATGACTGGAGTTCGAACTGCACAGCCAGAATGGTAAACAGGTCCAGGTCTGCCGTGTTGTTAGTCATATTCGTTTGATGGCAAAGGTTCCGCGTACCCGTGTTGTGCCGAGATTGCAGCTGCCTCAGCTTGTTCAGCTCATCCTCCAACAACTGTATGACGGAGTCCGAAACACCCTCGCCCTCCTCGGCCACGGAAAACATGGTGCGGTTAAGTCGGTTAGAAAACTTTTGCATCTCATACAACAGACCAAAGTACCCCAACGCATCAGGCAAAGACCTGCCACCGGCGGCCCGGTTGACGGCTTCATTGAAGAAGCCTGCGGGCGGGGGCAAACCATTGCTCGAAGCCACCCTGATTTCAAGTCAGCCAACCAACGACTCGACATTCGACATTCACCCATACCTCTGCGCCTGGATATTATATCCCATCCAGGCAAAGCACGCTTCCTCGTCCGTGATATCCGTCTGACGGTTCGGTCCAATGCAGAATTCAGGATGGGTGCCACGCCCTGTATGTAGGCCAAGCAGCAACGCCGCGTTCTGCGCGATCGCCACGTAGGAAGCGGACGGGTCGTTTAGGAATCGTATTGTCGGCAACGGCCATGTACACAGGACCAGAAGCGCGTTGATGGTCGATATACTTATCGGCGGGTTCGACACTGCGTTCCACACCTCCTTTGGTAGGTTTTCAACCAGGAATTGGAAGAGGCCGGGATCCTTGGCATACCGCCTCGATGAAACCGCAATGATTGTCCAGAATAGTATGGGGCTCAGCTTGTACAGCTTATCCGGGTCCTGAGACCGTACAATAGGGAAGTACGGGTGAAAATGTTCAAAATAGCTGTACATTCATCAGCGCTGCGAGCACATGTCTACAGGAAGATGGCAAACTTACGTGTCGAAATAGAAATCAATATCCTCACTCGACAGCACTTTAGAACCCAAAGCCCTCGGCTGCGCCGGATGCCGCGGCGGTCCAGTCGGCGTCGTGTGCGACGTCAACGTCGGCGTGGGGACCTGCTCTGCCGTTCGGGAGTGAGGAACAGGCGACAACGCAGGGAGACTCACCCGACCGGCACTCGGAGGCGGCCGGTCGGCGAATGCGCTTGCGGGATACGCCGAGCTCGGGCTCGGCAGCGGAAGGGCGGCCGGGGGAAGCACGCCGGCGGCGGAGACGGGACTGGGGTTGACGGCATTCTTGATCGTCTGGACCTCCTTCTCCAGTTGTTCGAGCTTACTGCCAAGGTCACACGAGCACGCATCAGATTACATGGTTCCTTGCCTCATTTGAGATGAACTTGAAGAGAAACGGCAAGGGAAGGGGGAGGGAAGAGCAAGCAACCTTCTCCTGGTTATGCGCTTGTGGGACTTGTCAATGACACACTGGATCCCGAGCTTCGCGCAACGCTGACACGGCTTGTTCGGCGTCAGGCTTGCATTGCATTTCACCTATTGCGGTCGTTCCAACGGCTCCAATTAGCGACGAGGTACTTTTGTCTTGAGAGTATGTATATGTATTACACGGCAAATGAGACAGGCTGGGAGGCTGAGGGTTTGATAACGTCGTACCTGAGCATGACACGGCAACGTCGGAAGACCAATTGGAAGTGAATCCGGGGCAGCATCGCTCAGGTACAGGGCACATACGGGGAGGAGCAGTCATGGCTGAGGAAACAGAGAGGGAGAGTGTAATTAATTCATCGAGGGAGTCAAAAGGAACGTGAACCCACCTTGGAGTCTCGACAACTTGTGCAGGCTGTATTACGCCGGATCCGGTTCGGCACGGGGGGACTGGGCGAGGTATCCCTATGTGCCGAGCCGGGGCTCTTGAGCGGCGGGTCCATGAGTTTGTTTGGTGTTTTGGGGGTTCCCAGGCGGCGGTGGTCGTGCTGTGGTGGTGGTGTAGGGTGCGCCAACGCGTGCGTGCACCGCGCAGCGCAGCGCAACGCAACGCTACGCGCCGAAGTGACGTAAGGTAGACCTCAGCCCAGGTAGGTGTACCTTGGGTAGATAGTCTAATTTATTCCTTTGTGCAGGGCGTAAGTGCGCGGCTCCTCTGCATCCCGTCGTTCCCGGTTGGATTTGCGGCTTCGCGGGAGGTTGAACTGACTGTGACGATGGGAAGTGGAGAGTTGGGTGGGTGGAATTCGGCGCGGTTTCGGCAAAAGGAAAGATAGGACGGGGGAGCGATGGATGGATGATAAATATGGCGCTGCTCAGTGGACTCTCGCTGACTGCTGCTTGGGAGGGAGGAGAAAAAAGAGGAGGCCGGCGTCATGGGTTCGGTTCACTCCATCGATCACGTGCGCTGACGACCCTCGAAGGATTCCGGCAGTGCCTTGTCGCAGGACAAAGAGCCAAACCGCAAACCGAAGTCTGGGCTTTTGCGGAGGGTGAGAAACATCGGATTGTCCTCAGCTTCTTTGGAGCTTCTTTTCGCCAGTCAACGATGCACATGTTGTATGTCCGACACGACTTTGGCGATGACTTCTTGTACTCAGAGTGAGATGGAATTCAGAGTGAGATGCGTCGTGTCACGATACGTGATATCTACAATTGTTTGATGCCTATACAGCATTCCAGGTTCATTATACGCCTGTCCGCCATCCATTGGCGTGCGTCCATTACCGCTCACCGCCCGAGACCCCTTTGATTCCATTTTATGCCTGCCGAACCATCCGCCGTCGTAGACATCATTCACTTCCTAGAGGACGGAAGCCCAGCGATAGAGCCGGTCGACTTCTTCTGGCGAGCCTTGCAGACTGCCCGTCTTGTCTCTGCCATCTACTCGTTCCCGCCTGCCCCTGCTAGATCTGCACCTGTCACTGTCGTGTCCTCACCTCCGCCGGGGTTGGTCCAGCTCATATCGCCCATGTTCGTCAGCATGCTCCATGGATCGATGCCGCCTACAGCCTCAAAATCGATAAAGGATATCGGGTCGGTGCTGGGTGCATATTGCAGCCCCCTCGAGTCCCATGTCGACGCCGCCGCGCCCGACACTTGAGCTTGGATGCTGGTTATGTCAATGATTTCATTAACGTTCCCGTTCGTATTAGTACTGCCACCAGTGCCATTGATGATACTGCCGCTGCCGCTGCCGCTGCCATTGCTGCCCTGAACACCATCTTCCGGTGTAGTACTCCCCGGTCCGTATCCAGGCGTAGTGCTACTGCTGGCTGCCGAATGTGAGGGGGTGCTCTTGTTAAAGCCAGACGGCGGCGACGGTGATGTTGAGTTCGTGCGGTGAGGTAGCGTCAGATGCGGTGAGGATCCGCTCTTGGGCATCATTCCCGTGTCACGCAGGAACTGAACCGCAAACCCACCGACGCCGTCCATTCCATTGCGTGATGCAGGCAGCGCATTGTTCATATTCTTATTTGAAGGTAATGTGCCGCTGAATGGACCTGCCTGGGCGTGGTCCGCTTCAGGGCCGGTCGTCAGAGAGGTACGTCTCCTCTTATTTGACGAGTTCTCAGGAGGCGCCCCATTCGCGTTGTATCCTAGGGCAACACTCGGTTTTGACATTGGTTGTGTGAGAGAAACTTCGGATTGCGAGATACCTAGGTTGGAAGGGCAACCCGACTGGGGGGGCACTGGTCCATTGCACCCTTCGTGCGTTCTCGGATAATTCTCGTAGGCAGTGCCTTTAGGATTGCCGAGAGGCAATCTGCCAGGGAGAGGGGGCTGGATCTCGGTGTGCTTCGATATTGAGCTTCGTGCCAAGAGGGGAATATTGGAGCAAGTCCAGCCGAAGGTATTTTTGTAGTTGTTCAGGCTGGGCACGTCGATGATACCCGATAAACCGTTACGCTGTATGTCCATGAATACTTGCTGGAGGAACGCCTGGGTGATCAAGTGTCGACGCCCGATGCCTTCCATCGCCTGGACGATGAATTTGAGATTCTGCAAGTCTGCCATCGACAGCCCGTTTTGTGGGTCGCATTTGGCATTGTACACGTACACGGAGGCAGCTGAGTACAGTGATAGAGCAACGAGAGGGCTTTTCTATAACAGGTCGTTAGGACAACAAGAAAACAGGGGCAACAGAGGCGGTCGTCGACTTACGTAGCCGGAGTTCGTGTGACTTGTCAGCTTGACGATGTTGACCACCTCTTCGGCTGCAGTACGCAGTCGGAGTTGTGAAGCAGTCTTGAGTTGTTCAGGCAGTTTGTGTTGCTCTATCCTATCGATCGCGGCGTGGTGCAGGCAGATGATGGATGCATGGAGGTTGAGGTTCGTGTGGACGGCCGTTGGGTCTTTCATGCTCTGGGGCAGACGAAAGCGTTCGGGCAAGAACATGAAGGCACTTGACAAGAGATTATCAATGTCTCTGTGGCGCTTCCAAAATTCGCCGTACTCGAAGTCTCCGGGTCGGTCGTTGGGTCTCTCCCAGTGAACATGCTTCAGGAGCATGTTGAAGACGTAGCAAATGATGACCGCGCCCGCGAACGTGGAGTACGATGCCCCCTTGAAGGCGTCCTGCATTGTAGACGTCTTCTCTTCACGAGCTGAGTTGAATGCCTCCTCGGACGATGGCAGGTGAGTGGTAATCTATCGGATTAGCGATTTTGTCTCGAACATGTCAGGAGAGACTTACCTCGTTCGGATCGATCAAAGTCGGCCAGCCCGTTGAGATACTGGCGTGACAGTCGATGCAGTAAGCTCCCCAAAACGCCCGCCTTCTCTCCTCCAGGTCAACCCACGACGTTGGCGGCGCGAGCGTTGGAGCCATCTCTTGGCCATCCCCGTCGATGCGATGAAGACCCATCATCTCTACAAGACGCACGCACTTTGCTGAACTCATGGCGGCTCTCGTGAAATACATACACCTCGCTTCGTCTGTCGCAATCAGCGCCCAAGCTTGTGCATGCTGAACCGTCAAAAAGTGCTCGCCATAGCCTCTCATCTCATCTGCGTCTGCGTATTGCCGAGCTCGCTTGTAGAAGATCTCGTGATACTGGGAATACTTTTCATGTCCGTTCGAAGCCATGGCCCAGACGGCATACTGCAGGCACATGGGCGGACGCTTATGAGGCGCCGAGTAGAACGACTGGAAGTACCTGCCAGGATGGATGATTGGAATGAAGTGCTGCTGTCGCTCGAAGAAACTCTTGTTACTATTTAAGAAAGTTAGACAAATGTTCACACCAAGGGCAAGGGATTGCCCATACAGATCTTCCATCATCTCAAAAGGGGGCAGAGCCTCCGAAAGACCAAGGCCAATCAACTCTCCAGATGACTCGCCAAAGCTGGGCATTTGCAGTTGAGGCTCTGGGATATTATGAGCTGACAGTCCTGCTTGGAGGTCTGCAGTTTCACCAGCAAAGCCGTTTTGCATCGCGATAAAAGTGTCGATGTCGACTGTGAAGTCGTCCATACCAACATTGATCCGACTGTCCAGGTCTCCTGCTGTTGCAGCGGTCTCATTCACCTTGCCGGCCTCCTTACTCGCCTCCTTGAGAAGGTCTTCCACCTGAGCTACAAATCGTGAGCGACGTCCAGCCACGGAGACACAACTGCCATACCTAGCCTCTCCTCAAGCTCCTTAACGTTTCGTCGTTTGAACGCGGGCTTCCTTCTCGACTCAGGGTACACGCACTCTCCCTTGACTTTCACGCACCGGCTACATGCCGGCTTCACTCGGTCGCACTTGAGCTTCCGGGACCGGCAGGTAACGCATGCCAACGGCTCGGAGCCCTGGCCGACAGGGCCGGTCTCCGCTTGCTCGCCGCCGTCGGTATCCATGATGCGGCGGCGAAATTTTGCATCCGAGACTGCAGCAGGCGATATCAGCGCGCCGAAAGTGGGCCTCAGCTCCGAACCTGCATCCAGGGGCGGGCTGTGTTGGGTGTCAGACTTGACGTATACGGATGCAATGACGTAGATGCAATGGCAGTACGTAATACCGCAGACAATATCAGGTTGCCTGAGTTGTCAAGGTCACTGGAGATGTCTTCTCGGGCTATCTCTTCAATGGCCAACACGCTGGCTAGGCAGATGCGTGCCCATCTCGATGACCAATGTCGGACATCTTTTGCGCCGATTGCCCGAGGACGGGACTTAGCGCGCCGTCCTCATTGGTCATCTGTGGAATGCATGAGGTGGGAATTCCGGTGTGGCCAGCGCAAGTGGAATTTCCGGCGTTAAGCATTCGTTCCCCGCTGCGACCTCACGTGAGCTACTGTTTCCTCACGCCAAGTGTCTTCAATGGTGCTCAAACTGCGTCCCGCTGAAGATCGTCAGCCGCCACGTCCCGTCCGTTCTTCCGCTCTGCCGCCGTCTTTTGTGGGTCTAAACGTACATCAACTCCATATCGATTCCACATGGCCTGGCCGAGACATGGCGAGCTTCCGATCACATCGGTGCGCAAGCGGCTCCGTCTCGGCCGAGCGGTTAACTCGGTGCCTCTGCCAAGCCTGCCTCTGATGACCCGCCGATCAGGAACAGCACGCCGACCGCAACCCTGCCGGTCCGGGGGTCTCGGAGGCAAAAGGCAAAAAGGGTGATCGACAGCAGCTCTCGCAGCCTCACCTACATCTGCCACAACAAGTCTGAGCTAATCGCAAACCGTCAAACCGGCTTGTCAGTGTCCCCAGGGGCTAATGTATCAGGTGGATGTGGCAGCCGAAGAAACGCCTGCATTGGCGATGACGAAGTTTTGAGTTCAAGTCGTTGAAAGCCTAAAAATCCCCGTGGCGTCCCAGGAACCGACACCACTGCGCTGGACAAAGTTGCTGTGCATGCTGCACTCTTGGGCCAGGTCAAGGAGCTGAGCGACTGCCATCCCAATTGTGCCGTCGCAGCAAGTTGAGCGCGCAGAGGACTTCAGCGAGCGTCCCTGGCG